ACCCCCGCCCGGGGGCCATCGGCTTCTTCCGGCAGCCCCGGGAGCCAGCCCTCCATCGCCCGCGCCTGCATCTGGCGGCTTGGGGAAGAGGAACCGCTGCGGCGTGTCCCGGGCGGGGGGTTGGTTGTGGGCTCTCTAAATGGTAATTCTCCTCCTCCGGAGCCCCTGGTTCAGCACACACGTGCTTGCTTCAGGCTTTTTGGGCTGCTGGCATCCACTCGAGCCTTTCGGGTGTTTTTGTAGCTGGTAAAATCCTGTCTGCTGAAAAAATGACTGCAATTAAACAGCTTAACAGAATCCTGTGCCTCTCGAGTGGCAGGAGCAAAAGCATGAAATTAATGCATCTAACAGCTCAGAATGTATGTGAGGCTTTAGTTTTGATGTTAAAATTGAAATTCAGTGTAAGCAGGAGGAAGATACGCAGCCCGAGTGAAGATGTTGTGCTGGGGTTTGCTGTAGTTTATCATCTAGAAGGAAGGAGGCCACCGTGCCTGCCTTCTGCGGGTCCGGAGCTCTGGGTTCCCAGAAAGTGTCCGGGCGTGCGCTGGCCTAACAGAGCTGTCAGCAAGCTATACAGGGAGGATCTGTCTGGAAAATTAATAAAAATAGGGTGTTTCACAAGGTTCCTGCGTAGGACAGGAAGAGGCTATGGGCAAAGACTGTTTGAGAAGCGCCCTGTGCCACAGCCTCCGTCATTTGAAATAAAAGCTCCCGTGCAAAGACTGCCCTCCTGTCGGGCTGCATGCATGGCCTTGGGCTGGGCCAGGCTGCTCAGGACCCCCAGCGAGAGGGCCAGTGCACAGCGTGGCCCTCGAGCCCCCCACCAAGGTGATCCCCTTCCCCACCCACCCCAAAGTCCCCGAGGGAGGGCGGTGTCGGCAGCCCCCCTCGCTGAGGCAGCTCATCCCCATCGCCCTGTGGCCGGACAGAGATGAAGTAAAACCAAGGACGAAGCCGGCAGCCGGCCAGGGAAGGGGGACGGGGGCGCGGTGGGGTGCTCAGACCCCATCCCAGTGGCATCTCCCAGGGCTGGCCGTGCTGGTGTGAAGGGCTCTGGTGAAAAGCCTCTCACCCCGCTGGGGCCATGGGGACCTTGAGTCACGGGTCTCGCTCCGGGTGCCACAGCGGGGTTAAGCTTTCGGAGCGGCTTTGGGCAGAGCTGTGCCCGGTCTCCACGTCTGTCCCTGCGTGCCAGGCCTGCTGGCTCCCTGAGTTTGGTGGTTGGTTTGTGATGTCCCCAAGCTTTGCCCTGGGTTCCTTTAACTGGAAAATCCAGGCATTCGGATGCTTGGAGCCGCTCACCCCGGCTGCACCGGGTTTGCTCCCTGCCAAGTGAGAACGGACGGGGCAGGGTGCGGGATTTCATAACTGCACCAACCGAGCACCATGGTGTGCTGAGGACCGGGGCCACCCTTCCCGGGGAGGTGGCAAGGCCAGGGGGTGACAGTGCCACGGGGCCGGTGACGTTTTCTGTGCTGCTGATAGGTGGATGCCGGTGCTGCTGCTGTGAAACCTCTCCACGGACGCCGCTCATTTCCAAGGCTGCGGCGGGGGGGTCCCGCACGGGGGGTGCAGAGCCCAGCGTTGGCAGGAGCTGAACCCGTGAGCTGGGTTTTTAACACCAGCCTCGCTCCTTCCTGGAGGTGCGGGGGGACGTGGCGCGGCCGCGAGGGGACGTGCCGTTTGTCACGGTGATGGATGACAGTGGTTCAGCGGGCCAACCTCCAAAGGGCCAACCTGCAAGGGGGCCAACCTCCAAAGGGCCAACCTGCAAGGGGGCCAACCTCCAAAGGGCCAACCTGCGTTTCCCCTGGTCGGTGGCCAAAGAGGGCGAGCACCAGGACTTTGTGCCTCCGACGCAACCGCTCAGCTCCAGCTTAAACTCAAAGGTTCTGTGTAATTGTTCTCCTAAAT